AATTTATTTTAATAAATAAAACTTTCAATAAAATATATTAATTATTAAGTACAAAGTTATTTTGATATTGGAAAATATTATAGAATTTAATTTTGTGCATAGTTTTGTTCATCTGACTAGTTTACATATATATAGTGATCAAATAAAAATGTTTATTTGTGAAGAGTAGACTTGGCAATGCAAGCAAAGAATTTCAAATGTTATCCTTTGAGTCTGTAATATATACAATAAATGTTCAAGATTTATGTGTTTCTCATGATATATAGCAGCCATGCTGCTATACATTGCAACAAAATGTATTACAAGCATGGCTGCTTCATGGCATCACGAAATTTATTTAATTCAAGTAAACTTTTCATTTGATCATCTGATATATATTTGATAAATACAACATTGTCTTCAATATTCTTCTTTTTAATTTTAGAAATTAATCTAAATTTATTTTAAAAATAATAATTTGTACTTTTAATTTTTAACATTATTTATGTAAAAAAATAATAAATCTCAATATTTTGAGCAATATGTATTATAATACTATCATCAAAAAGGTAAATCTCTAGCTAATAGTTAACACTTTGAGTGCCCAGGCAATTATTTTATATTCCTTCCAAATATTAATCCTTATTTTAAGGTGAGGAATAATTATTCTTATTANTAATATAGATGAATTAAAAATAAATTTTACTTTTATATGTCAATATTTATATTTTAAACAAGAAACTTAAACTTAATTTCAAATAAATAAATTTTTGTTCAATTTTTTATCATATACTGTATATACCAAAGTAATCAAATAATTGAAGTGTGAATTGTTAACATGTTTTAACTTAAATTTGATAGAAACCAGTATACTGCATATGACATATCTACCATTTTGACAATGAATTCAACTTGAAATGGCAATATGCTTAATACATTCTGAAGATAGAAGCATATTAAATTCAGTCCAAGCAGTTTTGTTGTTATATAACGCTTAACTTACCTAGGTTTTCTATAGATAAATTTGTTAATTATAGTCAATCATGGAAAATGATCAACAAATCCAAAAATTTAAGTAAAAATATATTTTCAATCGAAAACTCAATAGAGATTTACCAAGAATACATATTTTTGCATTGTTCGAGTGACCACTTTATTTATTTACTAAATCGACCTAGAAGAAACCCCAATTATAGGTGTGTTTATAACATACAAAGGAATATAACTTAATAAAAATTAGAATATTAAACATCACTCTTCTATCTGTTAAAGAAAAATATAAAACATAAATATTGAAAAATGTAAAACACAATTTTTACATTAGTCTTAATGTTCAATATTTATTATAAACGTGTAATATTTTTGGTTTATAACAAGGCTGTGGAGTCGGATTCGGAGTCGTGGAGTTGAGACACCAAGAAACTTGTTACTTTTTTAAAACNTATATACAAGATGTCCCATAAGTCAGGAATTATAGAAATTATGTTGACCTTTGTTTATTCTTTTACAGATAAAGCATGGCATTGAGTGAGGAGGAATAAATTCAAGTTTTTTGGCTGTAGGAACCCATATTCAGAAAGCAGTTGTTAATGAGTTATCAGTCTGCATCCAAACTGTTGTGTTTGATTGATGGGAGGTCTGGATGCATTCCATCAAAATGACTTCATTTCATTCTTTTTTACTCACATATCATGCTTTACCTGTAAAAGGATAAACAAAGATCAACATAACACCTACAGTTCCATACTTATATAAAATGAATCTACAGGTGACCTATATCAGCAACATAATTGCAAAATGTTCTTAGATTTTCTACTTTTCATATTTGTTGTTTTTAAATATTATTTTCTTATAACTTTTATTTCCTGTAATTTCTTATCTTTAAATTTTTTGTTAAATAGTGCTTTTATTTATGGGAGAATTTCTTACTTTCCTTGCACCATTATCAATATTCATCAAGATAAGAAAACAAATATTAAACTTAGAATGAATATATACATTAAAATGCATGAATTATCAGGAATGTGCCTAGTAATATTTACAAACATACTGTATATACTTATTCTTATATCAATGTATAGCATTTTTATATTGATTTAGTTTTCCTATATACAATACAGTTAGTAAATTTAACATGTAAATGGCAGTTTGTTTTATATTGTTTGTATAATTTGCACAAATTACAATTTTGTATCAATTTCACCTTTATCCAATGATGCTGATGAACTTGTATAGCTGGAAGTTTCATGTGGAAGGTTGTCTTTATCAGTTTTTTCTAATAATCTTGGAGCTGATACTGCTATTGCTGCAGCACCAATTGGAGCTGTTAGAAGAATTGAAAGTACTGCAATAGTCAGTACCTATAAAAACATTCGATTAACTTTAAAATAGAAACTCATATGATACATATTATACAATGTGATGCATACTTGTATCCCTAACTTTTCTTCTGTTTTATCGCTGCCTAACTTTCGAGCTAAATCTAATGCAAATGGACCTATAGCTGCCTGCAAAGAATCATTTTGTCATTTTATTTTATTTTTTTAATTCAGTTGTTCCCAGCTTATGTTCCACAGAACCCCTGATTTCTGCCAATAAAATTTGGGGTTACAAATAAAATTAGTTCTTGAGTTTTAATTAATAGTTTAAATCAGGCATGGCCAACATACGGCCCGCGGGCTGGATCCGGCCCATGTAATGAATTTATGTGGCCCGCGATCAATCTTTCAACATTAGCTACTCAAGTCCGAATAGCTCGATGAAGAATTCTGACGCCTAAAAAAAAAGTCAACTTGTGTGTTTAGAGTTAACCCTCCATTACAAATCTTGTAAGTACAGTGTAGATGTTGATAAAGCATGATAATGTGAAAAATATATATGTAATCTCTATCTACAATTTAGTCTCTATGGGGTGACACCACAATGAGATCTTGCACTACCTCAAAATCTTCCTAGGGAGGCCTCTGGTTCGGCCTGTGAAAAAAATTTTCTTTCCAATTCGGCCCGGGGGCAAAAACTGTTGGCCACCCCTGGTTTAAATAGTTTTTCAATATATATTTAAAAGAGTTTCAAAAATTATTAATATTCCTTAGAGATAGGGGACTTAGGAACAGCTTACATTTGTGAAATATAAAACTGCATTGAGTCTAATGGTAGGAAAATCAAGTCATGTATTTGATTCTTTCCTGTGTATTTGATTATTAAGCTACAATTTGGAAAAATTGCAGACTTATAAATTTCCACTGTCATCCGTCTGTCTGTCCTTCCTTAATCTCAAGAACAGAATTAGATAGATGGACTAGATATGGAAAACTTAGGGGCAGGAGGCCCAGATTAACTATATAAAAACTTCCAGTACAAACTAGAAGTCATGTTATTTCAATTCAAAAATTTTCCTCTGAATGGAGTTAGATGGATGACCAACATGACTCTATTGCTAAGAGGAAAAGTGTGATGTATAAGGACAAAACACTACTAAAAACATTGAGAACAGTGTGATGAAAAATTGCAGCCCAGTATTGTGACAATGTCATAATAAATAACTGCTCATTTTCAAATTTTTGAATTGAAATAACATGACTTCCAGTTTGTACTGGAAGTTTGTATATAGTTAATCTGGGTCACCTGCCCCTGAGCTTTCCATATCTGGTCTCAACTCTCATCTATCTAACTCCATTCTGAAGATTAAGAAAGGAAAGACAAAGAAACAGACAACAATGGGAATTTATAAGTCTACAATTTTTTCAAATTGCAGCCCAACTAAAGTATCATTCCTGTTGGAGAAATTGTTGCTTAGAAGTTAGCAATATTCAAATACTTGAGTGTTCAATTAGCAATTCACAAAAAATCAAATGTGTTGATTCTTCCATTGGTTGAGCTCCCACCATATCTGCTGACAAATCATCTGCAAAAGTTAATCCTTTGTATTAATTATTAGTTTGAATTAATATTATTTGCTTTTCCATTATTAATCTTTTTTCTTTTTGCATGTTAAATAAATCAGACAAAATGATCAATTTCAAAACATTTTGTTAAGGTGAAAAGGGTTCTGTGATTAAATTAAGTTGGGAACTACTGTTTTAATTTATAACTTTTCAAACTTAAATATTTAAAATAAAATTTAAATAATTCAATAAAAGTATGGAAAAAGTAATATTGTATATAGCAGTGACAAAGAATTCATAATATTATTTGTATGTAATTTAAATTTACAGTTTAATAAAAATTGAATTGTATAATGTTGAAATATATATTTTTTATATCATACAGGATTCACATATAGTAAACTTCCACTTTTACAACCAAATTGGTTCCTGGAAAATTTTTCTTAAGTGATATACAGGTATCCCTTGATTAGAGTGATTAGTTAATCCCTCGAAGCAACCATGTATATCAAAATTGCTTTAATCAAATACTATACATCGGTACCTCAAACAAATTTTCAGTTAATAATGAATATTTTTGTTTTAATTTTGTCATCTGTATGAAAAGTTTTCTATGATAAAAATCACATTTGTCATGTCCACTATGAGTATTTTTTACTGTTTATATAGCATTATATCCTTTGTAAAACTTAAAAACATATATAATGTGCCTGATATGCATTTTATTTGCAGCCAATTCAATTTGACTTTACATTAAAAAACATTTGAAGTAAAGTTTTATAATTAACTTCTAAACAAAGAATGAAATAACACATTAGCAGTAATGTGTTAAATTTTGCAACTATCATGATTAAACTATAATATAAATAACACCTTTAACCATCCAGCAATAAAAATGTTTAATATGACAAAAATGTTTCAACCATTTTTTTAATGGCCATCTTCAGTTGAACCAATTTTAAAAAAGAGCATTAAAATGGAATGTATGAAATACAAATTAAACAGAATCCAAAATGCACATGCGCAGTTCACCTGATTTGCATCTTCGGATTATCTATAAATAACTTACAAATAACATAAAAATAAAGCCACCAACGGGGAAATATATGTTGATTACATCATATTAATCTGCATTATTGTAAAAAGATTTCCAGGCATAAGATAACCCTTCCGCATCTCTATGATTAATGCATCCCTTGCTTATGTGAGCCTTGTGTATCTTTATCTTTTCAAGATTCTTCACTGCTTGTTTGGAATTCATGGCTCTAATAATTTAGGCTTGATCCCAATATACCTTGACCTCCTGCTGTTTGGCAAATGCTGCAAGCACTGTGCTATCCATGTTCTTACTCACAGAGTATTTGTGTTCGTTGAGTCTTTGCTTTAACTGCCGCATAGTTGCACCAACGTAAACAAGGTCAGAGTTGAAACACTGATCTTTTATAGGTATAGAATATACTCTTGGTAAATTATTTCGCTTTTCCTTTCTCTTATCGTTTCTTAACATTCTATAGATCGTTGTATTACACCAATATACTATTCATAGATTATTACTATTAGCAACTCTCTTAATCATTTTGTTTAAAAAGAGGAAAATAATTAAGTACTACTCTTCTTTCCTGAATCATTTTGGGAGAATCCCAATTCTGATTCTGAAACTTCGTAATAAGCTCATCCACCTCTCTTCTCCGGTAACCCTGCTTCATTGCTGTCTTCCTAATGTAATCCAACTCTTTATAAGTATCATATACACTCGTGCAATGAGTATATGCCCAAAATGCTGCATATTTAATATGCCTAGGATCGATAGAATTCCTTGGAATAATAATGGGTTGATAAATTGGTTTGCGATAAATGTCTGTCCAGATTTCTCCTTCTTTGCACATGATAGATAGATTGAGGAAGTTAATATTACCACCACTCCCTTGCTCTAAATCCAATGTCAAACCATATGGGTTATTGTTGACTGTGTTTAGAAAACATTGCACGTTGTTATCATTTCTCCACAGAATGAAAATATCATCTATGTATCTGCAGTATAATATTATGTCATTTTGAAAAATGGGCAGGATATTGCTTTCCAGCTGATGCAAGACTAATTCACATAAGACAGCAGACATTGGGTTACCCATTAGCACCCCTCTTCCTTGTAGATATGTCTTTTCTTCAAAATTGAAAAATGATGTATAACATACTAAGTCAACCAGCTCTAAAATGTGCTTGTGGTATTTCCTTGCATTTTTGATGTTAGTAAAAAGGAAATCTCTTAATGCACAAAAACATGGCAGTAACCTTATTGAAGGGTATAAAGCCTTATAATCCATTACAGTCATATATTCTTTATCTTTAAGAGAAATGCTTCTCAGCTTCTCTACCAGTTGTATCGAGCTTTTAATGGAATAGGGGGATTCTTGTATCTTAGAACTTATAAACTTGACTAGGTGTTTTTCAATGCAGAAAGTAGGTGAATTGCATTTTTCAATAACCAGGCCTTGTTTTATTTATTTATTGATTAAACTATATATCTATATCAGAAATCATCCTCAGCACAAAAATAGCAAATTCACCAACATCTTATTTGCTGAGAAAAACATATCTATATTAAGTAAAGACAGCTGTTAGAGCCGCACTAATTTTTCATGTTAATCAAATCTCACATTAAACAAGGGATACCTGTATTGCAAATCAAAGCACCACTTTCCTCATAGACCGGGGATTTCCAATCCTTTAAAGAAAAATTTTTTTTCCATTAACCCCTTCAATATTATATACTAAATATATTATATATAAATATATATGCCATAGTCTCTTGCATAATTTTTAAAAACACTTCTTATATTTGCAAAGCTGTATTAACCTCCTCAAACTTTGATTGACCCATAAGGGGTCAATAACAACCCTTTGGGAAACCCTTTCAAAGAAAAAAACTGAAGTTTTATTCCCATGAAAAAATTTTGAACTTTACAGAGTGTAAGTAAAATGTTTTTGGGCTGTAATTTGAAAAATTGTAGACCTATAAATTCCCACTGTCATCCATCCCCATCTGTCTTTCCTTAATCTCAAGAACAGAGTTAGATAGATGAAAGATGAGATCAGATATGGAAAGCTTTGAGGCAGAAGACCCCAATTAACTATATATGAATTTTTGATGCAAACCAGAAGTCATGTTATTCCAATTCAAAAATTTTTCCCTGAAAGGTATTAGATGACTGGCAACTCTATTGTTAAAGGAAAAGTGTGATGTTCAGGGGCAAGCCATTACTAATTTGAGGTGGAGAGCATATATTTTAAATTAAATAAATTAAAAATGTGATTAAAAAGTCCTTTATACATATACAAACATCTCTAAACCTGGTAAGTCCCACTCCAGGTCGATTCCTTTCTTCCAGAATATTCTAAATTATTTAATTTAATTATAATTATTAAATTGAATAAGAGATGGTGCCTAACATCTCCCTCTAGTGACTAATTATTTAGAAATTAATTAAAACTAATTGTAGAAAAAGTAGCCTGATTTAATCCAGTGGTTGTTTGGCTTATTAAAACTCTTTTAAAATTGTAGCAGTTCTGTTTAAAAAAGGTTCAGCAGGAGATTTGCATATGTGAGGGCCCGGATTTAAGATTCGAATATTTTTATTCATTAGGTTAAAAGTTAGATTAAAAGTTAGGGTTAACTCCAAACGAGAAAAACAACCAACAAATTTTCTCATAAAAATCGCTCATAAAATTCTGTTCCCACGGGGATACTTCCTTGTAGGGGATGAGTTAACCATTGTGTCATAATTTTGTCACTTCTCCCGCTATTGGTCAAAGAAGATCATCACCTGTGATGTATGTGGGGAAATATTGAAAACATAGCCCCCATATAAAAGGAAAATGCGATGATGACACAGGAGGAAAAACAGTTCTTTTTCTATACTGTGAGTGTGCTGTGGATTTACCTGCCTCTCGTCGCCACCGTCTTCAACAGACTTGGAACTTTGACTGATTCAAACTTTGGACTAATTTGAATTACAAACTTGGAAGGATGAGCCCCGGATCAACTTTATAACAACGTAACCAGAGGTATTTTTTTCTCGCGAGAGTATGTAAGCTCTCTCTCGATCACAACTAATTTACATTTTGTCAACCCCGAACTTATGAATCAAACTTATGGAATCCCGTGAGGAAACTCCAACCTAGATTTAGGAAACACTTATCTATATAACTGTTCAATAATAAACGGGTAGATTGTTAATGAACTTGGATTGGTGTGCATTTCTTCCACCCTTATCCACTCCATCCTGAACCCGAATGAGAATAATAACTCCTCCATTCCACCGCGTATCTATTCGCGACGGAAATGATAGATTGGTGTCAGATCCTGACGTGAAATAAGGATCTAGCGATCCTTAACGTTAAAACCCTTCCGCTCAAAAGAACCCATCCTTTAGACAAGCGAGACCGGACCTCAAGGTCTTGAGTCGAGTAAGAGGTAGGGGAGTCAAGAACTCATAAACATCCTACCCCCGATTAGTCTCTCACATATCTTATGTATTTAAACAGACTCTTGCTACAATTTTATGGGACCTTTTCTCACAAACGAGAGATTTTTGGACACACATTGACTAGACCTTTTTTGTTTGTTTTTATGCATAGAATACATCTACCAACTTTGGGTACACATTTTTACATACACTCTGTGTAATAATATTGTAGTAAAATGTTACATAAAAATGGCATGCAATATTTAAATATGAATTTTCATAGTCATACTGGTAATAATTTGATATTAATCATAAAAATTGAAATTTTAAAGCAAAAGTTATTTTACAAAATAGAGATTTACTGCAATTGTTTTGAAATTTTTGCAAATTTTAAGTATTAAAAAAACAATGAAAAGATCTTGCAATTAAGCTATAAATAAAATTATAATTACATAAAGAAAACTAAATGAGATTCAAATATANTAATAAAAAAAGATCACGAATCTCTATGCCTTGTTAAAGATCATGGCATTTATATATAATCAGTAAACTGCTTCAATTGCATAAATAAAATTGCCAGACCCATGGTGAGAGTGACCTGTTGTGACTCAGCCATCCAGTCAGAATAAACAAAAGTTATTTATGAATTTTAGCACAAAATACTTTTTAAATAAGTCATTGTATGTCCTTATTCAACACTATAGCACTAGTTATTACTATATTGTTCCTGACTTAATTTTATTAAAAATATTTAATTCTTGATAAATTGTATGTTATAATAAAGATATTCAAAAACCAAAAGCAGTTAAAATAAATTGTGGCCATAAAATTAATACAACAAATTTAAATGTATAAAGTAAATCTTATTTTAATTTTTATACTGTTGTTATTTTATAAACAAAATAAATAATAATTAATAATATATTATTTAGTTATCAATATTCTAAAACATTTCTCCAAAATATAATATTGGAAGGGCCTGCATTCAGAGTGTTAAATTATGGCAATTCCTGATAATTCATGGCAATAAAGAGATAGTTAGCAGTAAGTACAGATTATTGTATGAAGTAAATAAAATTTTAATTATGACTTATATTAAGTACAAAGTACAGAAATAAATATCTTAAATAAAATAGAGAAAATCTGATTGAACAATACTATTTTCATTAAATTATAAATATACAATACAGTTTTAAAATGCCAGTTTTCAATTATTTTGTTGTTTGTATAGAAATTAACATTTTGACATTTTTCATCAGCTAATGAATGTACTAATACAGAGCACATTCATTAATTACTTACAACAAATACAAGTATGCACTGATTAACATTGTATTTAATGATAGAGGTCTCATAAAATTGTAATAAAGATAGAAAAGATACAGGTGGTTATAAATTTTTCATGCTTAGATATATTTAGATAAATAAATAGTCATCATGTTTAGAATTGTGTTACATAGAGCCTATATGAATAGTACACTACAGTAGTGTTTTCCAATCTTTTTGGATTATCCACACACTTTAAATGTAATAAGATTCCTGTAACACACCATAATTTTTAAAATAAAAATGTTTAAAATTAAAAATAAATTAGAGTTGATTTTTAAAAAATTTTGAAAATATGGAAGTTAAACTTACCAAGACAAAAAACTCATAATTTTACAAATATACTATAAAAATAAAAAGACTGTTTGAATAAATGTATAAAGAGCTAGTATTGGTCTTTAAGCTGGTGAGCCACAACATTTACAGATACTCCAAGAGTTAGTATTTGCCAGCATTTGCATATACACATACAACTTTTGTCAGGGTGTGTGATGCTGCTAATTTCGCAACCAGAGCCAGCCCTACCATAGGACGAATGGAGCAGCTGCTCCAGACATTAAGTCCTAGGAGGTGCCTCAGTAGTAAAGAAAATTAAAGGGTATAAATTAGGGGCAACCAAGGGGGTGCCATAATAGGATCATGCTCTATCCTAAAACTTGCCTCAGGCCGGCACTGTTTGCAACAATCAGCATTTTAGTGAATACCTTCTTCTCCCTTCAATTGGCCAACAGTAAAAAACAAAAAAAGGATAAATGAAATTTTTTTAAAACTGTTTATTCAAAATTCTAAGAAATATTTAATATTTCCATGGCACACCCAAAGCATTCTTACAATACACAAGTTGGGAAATATTGCACCATAGCATATAATGTTTGTCTAAATACATTATGGTGTTCACTTAACAACATATTTCTTGGAACATATCCCAGCCATTATGTGGCACATACCAATATACATAAAACAATTAAAACTGGGATATAATAGAGCTATCAAATTAGGCAATGCTGAATTATTTTAAGCAAGTTAATATCACATCTCAAAATAGTAATCTTTGTTACAGATGTTATTTGAATATTGAATTTTAAACTTAATAATATCCAAACTACTTTTGATCTCATTGAACAATTCCCCAAATCCATAGTTGCTTTTAAATTTTTTTAGTGCTTTTCTGAAGTGAAAATAATAATGAACATAGAGAGAAGGGATAGAAAATTACTTAAATGAAATTTTTTTAAATGTTCCAGAGGAGAAAATTACACTAAATTGTTTACTTTTCAACATAACAGTAAACTGTTGTCTTGTTAATACAAAACGTGAAAGTGAAATCAAATTACCAACAACAAAATAATAAAAATAAATATCTAAGCCAATATTTTAATTAATTTTTATGAACATTTTTATAATTTGTAAAAACTAATTGTTTTATAATTATTCACTTTAAAAATTATAGTTGTTACTCAGATAAAAGATATGGTAATCTCTAAAAAGAACAATGACTTAAGAATGTATACATTTGAACAATAATTTTTATTTTAAAAAACAATAATTTTATGACATATTTATTTCATAATAATTAAGTTAATGTTTTTCTTTTCATAGAAACCAACTGAAAGATTTTTATTGTATAATTTCGTTAAAAAATATCAAAAAATAATTTTTGTTTAATTTAATCCTTCAACTTGCATATCCATTTCAAATAGTTTTCTCTAGCACAGTGTTTCTCAACGGGGGCGAAATCGCCCCCATGTGGGCGTTTTTCCATGTTGAGGGAGCGATTTGTAACAATTTATATTTGGAGGCGAAAAACAATTTTCTGGGCAATATAGTAAAACATTATATTAAGAATAATTAGATATTTTATTCATTATATTGTATAATAATTAAACAAATAACATTATACTAGTCACTAGTCTATTCAATGCAGTACGAATTTGACGTTAGCCTTGGCCCTCAGCATCGGAATTTTGAAGTGAAGGGGGCGATACTACATTAAAGGGGGCGACGATTCGTTAGAGGTTGAGAAACACTGCTCTAGCACAATTTCTGTAATCTCTTCATTCCAGGATTCTTCACTCTAAGGCAAATAGTTCCAAATGTTTATATACAAGATGTCCCATAAGTCAGGAATTATAGAAATTATGTTGACCTTTGTTTATTCTTTTACAGATAAAGCATGGCATTGAGTGAGGAGGAATAAATTCAAGTTTTTTGGCTGTAGGAACCCATATTCAGAAAGCAGTTGTTAATGAGTTATCAGTCTGCATCCAAACTGTTGTGTTTGATTGATGGGAGGTCTGGATGCATTCCATCAAAATGACTTCATTTCATTCTTTTTTACTCACATATCATGCTTTACCTGTAAAAGGATAAACAAAGATCAACATAACACCTACAGTTCCATACTTATATAAAATGAATCTACAGGTGACCTATATCAGCAACATAATTGCAAAATGTTCTTAGATTTTCTACTTTTCATATTTGTTGTTTTTAAATATTATTTTCTTATAACTTTTATTTCCTGTAATTTCTTATCTTTAAATTTTTTGTTAAATAGTGCTTTTATTTATGGGAGAATTTCTTACTTTCCTTGCACCATTATCAATATTCATCAAGATAAGAAAACAAATATTAAACTTAGAATGAATATATACATTAAAATGCATGAATTATCAGGAATGTGCCTAGTAATATTTACAAACATACTGTATATACTTATTCTTATATCAATGTATAGCATTTTTATATTGATTTAGTTTTCCTATATACAATACAGTTAGTAAATTTAACATGTAAATGGCAGTTTGTTTTATATTGTTTGTATAATTTGCACAAATTACAATTTTGTATCAATTTCACCTTTATCCAATGATGCTGATGAACTTGTATAGCTGGAAGTTTCATGTGGAAGGTTGTCTTTATCAGTTTTTTCTAATAATCTTGGAGCTGATACTGCTATTGCTGCAGCACCAATTGGAGCTGTTAGAAGAATTGAAAGTACTGCAATAGTCAGTACCTATAAAAACATTCGATTAACTTTAAAATAGAAACTCATATGATACATATTATACAATGTGATGCATACTTGTATCCCTAACTTTTCTTCTGTTTTATCGCTGCCTAACTTTCGAGCTAAATCTAATGCAAATGGACCTATAGCTGCCTGCAAAGAATCATTTTGTCATTTTATTTTATTTTTTTAATTCAGTTGTTCCCAGCTTATGTTCCACAGAACCCCTGATTTCTGCCAATAAAATTTGGGGTTACAAATAAAATTAGTTCTTGAGTTTTAATTAATAGTTTAAATCAGGCATGGCCAACATACGGCCCGCGGGCTGGATCCGGCCCATGTAATGAATTTATGTGGCCCGCGATCAATCTTTCAACATTAGCTACTCAAGTCCGAATAGCTCGATGAAGAATTCTGACGCCTAAAAAAAAAGTCAACTTGTGTGTTTAGAGTTAACCCTCCATTACAAATCTTGTAAGTACAGTGTAGATGTTGATAAAGCATGATAATGTGAAAAATATATATGTAATCTCTATCTACAATTTAGTCTCTATGGGGTGACACCACAATGAGATCTTGCACTACCTCAAAATCTTCCTAGGGAGGCCTCTGGTTCGGACTGTGAAAAAAATTTTCTTTCCAATTCGGCCCGGGGGCAAAAACTGTTGGCCACCCCTGGTTTAAATAGTTTTTCAATATATATTTAAAAGAGTTTCAAAAATTATTAATATTCCTTAGAGATAGGGGACTTAGGAACAGCTTACATTTGTGAAATATAAAACTGCATTGAGTCTAATGGTAGGAAAATCAAGTCATGTATTTGATTCTTTCCTGTGTATTTGATTATTAAGCTACAATTTGGAAAAATTGCAGACTTATAAATTTCCACTGTCATCCGTCTGTCTGTCCTTCCTTAATCTCAAGAACAGAATTAGATAGATGGACTAGATATGGAAAACTTAGGGGCAGGAGGCCCAGATTAACTATATAAAAACTTCCAGTACAAACTAGAAGTCATGTTATTTCAATTCAAAAATTTTCCTCTGAATGGAGTTAGATGGATGACCAACATGACTCTATTGCTAAGAGGAAAAGTGTGATGTACAAGGACAAAACACTACTAAAAACATTGAGAACAGTGTGATGAAAAATTGCAGCCCAGTATTGTGACAATGTCATAATAAATAACTGCTCATTTTCAAATTTTTGAATTGAAATAACATGACTTCCAGTTTGTACTGGAAGTTTGTATATAGTTAATCTGGGTCACCTGCCCCTGAGCTTTCCATATCTGGTCTCAACTCTCATCTATCTAACTCCATTCTGAAGATTAAAAAAGGAAAGACAAAGAAACAGACAACAATGGGAATTTATAAGTCTACAATTTTTTCAAATTGCAGCCCAACTAAAGTATCATTCCTGTTGGAGAAATTGTTGCTTAGAAGTTAGCAATATTCAAATACTTGAGTGTTCAATTAGCAATTCACAAAAAATCAAATGTGTTGATTCTTCCATTGGTTGAGCTCCCACCATATCTGCTGACAAATCATCTGCAAAAGTTAATCCTTTGTATTAATTATTAGTTTGAATTAATATTATTTGCTTTTCCATTATTAATCTTTTTTCTTTTTGCATGTTAAATAAATCAGACAAAATGATCAATTTCAAAACATTTTGTTAAGGTGAAAAGGGTTCTGTGATTAAATTAAGTTGGGAACTACTGTTTTAATTTATAACTTTTCAAACTTAAATATTTAAAATAAAATTTAAATAATTCAATAAAAGTATGGAAAAAGTAATATTGTATATAGCAGTGACAAAGAATTCATAATATTATTTGTATGTAATTTAAATTTACAGTTTAATAAAAATTGAATTGTATAATGTTGAAATATATATTTTTTATATCATACAGGATTCACATATAGTAAACTTCCACTTTTACAACCAAATTGGTTCCTGGAAAATTTTTCTTAAGTGATATACAGGTATCCCTTGATTAGAGTGATTAGTTAATCCCTCGAAGCAACCATGTATATCAAAATTGCTTTAATCAAATACTATACATCGGTACCTCAAACAAATTTTCAGTTAATAATGAATATTTTTGTTTTAATTTTGTCATCTGTATGAAAAGTTTTCTATGATAAAAATCACATTTGTCATGTCCACTATGAGTATTTTTTACTGTTTATATAGCATTATATCCTTTGTAAAACTTAAAAACATATATAATGTGCCTGATATGCATTTTATTTGCAGCCAATTCAATTTGACTTTACATTAAAAAACATTTGAAGTAAAGTTTTATAATTAACTTCTAAACAAAGAATGAAATAACACATTAGCAGTAATGTGTTAATTTTGCAACTATCATGATTAAACTATAATATAAATAACACCTTTAACCATCCAGCAATAAAAATGTTTAATATGACAAAAATGTTTCAACCATTTTTTTAATGGCCATCTTCAGTTGAACCAATTTTAAAAAAGAGCATTAAAATGGAATGTATGAAATACAAATTAAACAGAATCCAAAATGCACATGCGCAGTTCACCTGATTTGCATCTTCGGATTATCTATAAATAACTTACAAATAACATAAAAATAAAGCCGCCAACGGGGAAATATATGTTGATTACATCATATTAATCTGCATTATTGTAAAAAGATTTCCAGGCATAAGATAACCCTTCCGCATCTCTATGATTAATGCATCCCTTGCTTATGTGAGCCTTGTGTATCTTTATCTTTTCAAGATTCTTCACTGCTTGTTTGGAATTCATGGCTCTAATAATTTAGGCTTGATCCCAATATACCTTGACCTCCTGCTGTTTGGCAAATGCTGCAAGCACTGTGCTATCCATGTTCTTACTCACAGAGTATTTGTGTTCGTTGAGTCTTTGCTTTAACTGCCGCATAGTTGCACCAACGTAAACAAGGTCAGAGTTGAAACACTGATCTTTTATAGGTATAGAATATACTCTTGGTAAATTATTTCGCTTTTCCTTTCTCTTATCGTTTCTTAACATTCTATAGATCGTTGTATTACACCAATATACTATTCATAGATTATTACTATTAGCAACTCTCTTAATCATTTTGTTTAAAAAGAGGAAAATAATTAAGTACTACTCTTCTTTCCTGAATCATTTTGGGAGAATCCCAATTCTGATTCTGAAACTTCGTAATAAGCTCATCCACCTCTCTTCTCCGGTAACCCTGCTTCATTGCTGTCTTCCTAATGTAATCCAACTCTTTATAAGTATCATATACACTCGTGCAATGAGTATATGCCCAAAATGCTGCATATTTAATATGCCTAGGATCGATAGAATTCCTTGGAATAATAATGGGTTGATAAATTGGTTTGCGATAAATGTCTGTCCAGATTTCTCCTTCTTTGCACATGATAGATAGATTGAGGAAGTTAATATTACCACCACTCCCTTGCTCTAAATCCAATGTCAAACCATATGGGTTATTGTTGACTGTGTTTAGAAAACATTGCACGTTGTTATCATTTCTCCACAGAATGAAAATATCATCTATGTATCTGCAGTATAATATTATGTCATTTTGAAAAATGGGCAGGATATTGCTTTCCAGCTGATGCAAGACTAATTCACATAAGACAGCAGACATTGGGTTACCCATTAGCACCCCTCTTCCTTGTAGATATGTCTTTTCTTCAAAATTGAAAAATGATGTATAACATACTAAGTCAACCAGCTCTAAAATGTGCTTGTGGTATTTCCTTGCATTTTTGATGTTAGTAAAAAGGAAATCTCTTAATGCACAAAAACATGGCAGTAACCTTATTGAAGGGTATAAAGCCTTATAATCCATTACAGTCATATATTCTTTATCTTTAAGAGAAATGCTTCTCAGCTTCTCTACCAGTTGTATCGAGCTTTTAATGGAATAGGGGGATTCTTGTATCTTAGAACTTATAAACTTGACTAGGTGTTTTTCAATGCAGAAAGTAGGTGAATTGCATTTTTCAATAACCAGGCCTTGTTTTATTTATTTATTGATTAAACTATATATCTATATCAGAAATCATCCTCAGCACAAAAATAGCAAATTCACCAACATCTTATTTGCTAAGAAAAACATATCTATATTAAGTAAAGACAGCTGTTAGAGCCGCACTAATTTTTCATGTTAATCAAATCTCACATTAAACAAGGGATACCTGTATTGCAAATCAAAGCACCACTTTCCTCATAGACCGGGGATTTCCAATCCTTTAAAGAAAAATTTTTTTTCCATTAACCCCTTCAATATTATATACTAAATATATTATATATAAATATATATGCCATAGTCTCTTGCATAATTTTTAAAAACACTTCTTATATTTGCAAAGCTGTATTAACCTCCTCAAACTTTGATTGACCCATAAGGGGTCAATAACAACCCTTTGGGAAACCCTTTCAAAGAAAAAAACTGAAGTTTTATTCCCATGAAAAAATTTTGAACTTTACAGAGTGTAAGTAAAATGTTTTTGGGCTGTAATTTGAAAAATTGTAGACCTATAAATTCCCACTGTCATCCATCCCCATCTGTCTTTCCTTAATCTCAAGAACAGAGTTAGATAGATGAAAGATGAGATCAGATATGGAAAGCTTTGAGGCAGAAGACCCCAATTAACTATATATGAATTTTTGATGCAAACCAGAAGTCATGTTATTCCAATTCAAAAATTTTTCCCTGAAAGGTATTAGATGACTGGCAACTCTATTGTTAAAGGAAAAGTGTGATGTTCAGGGGCAAGCCATTACTAATTTGAGGTGGAGAGCATATATTTTAAATTAAATAAATTAAAAATGTGATTAAAAAGTCCTTTATACATATACAAACATCTCTAAACCTGGTAAGTCCCACTCCAGGTCGATTCCTTTCTTCCAGAATATTCTAAATTATTTAATTTAATTATAATTATTAAATTGAATAAGAGATGGTGCCTAACATCTCCCTCTAGTGACTAATTATTTAGAAATTAATTAAAACTAATTGTAGAAAAAGTAGCCTGATTTAATCCAGTGGTTGTTTGGCTTATTAAAACTCTTTTAAAATTGTAGCAGTTCTGTTTAAAAAAGGTTCAGCAGGAGATTTGCATATGTGAGGGCCCGGATTTAAGATTCGAATATTTTTATTCATTAGGTTAAAAGTTAGATTAAAAGTTAGGGTTAACTCCAAACGAGAAAAACAACCAACAAATTTTCTCATAAAAATCGCTCATAAAATTCTGTTCCCACGGGGATACTTCCTTGTAGGGGATGAGTTAACCATTGTGTCATAATTTTGTCACTTCTCCCGCTATTGGTCAAAGAAGATCATCACCTGTGATGTATGTGGGAAAATATTGAAAACATAGCCCCCATATAAAAGGAAAATGCGATGATGACACAGGAGGAAAAACAGTTCTTTTTCTATACTGTGAGTGTGCTGTGGATTTACCTGCCTCTCGTCGCCACCGTCTTCAACAGACTTGGAACTTTGACTGATTCAAACTTTGGACTAATTTGAATTACAAACTTGGAAGGATGAGCCCCGGATCAACTTTATAACAATGTAACCAGAGGTATTTTTTTCTCGCGAGAGTATGTAAGCTCTCTCTCGATCACAACTAATTTACATTTTGTCAACCCCGAACTTATGAATCAAACTTATGGAATCCCGTGAGGAAACTCCAACCTAGATTTAGGAAACACTTATCTATATAACTGTTCAATAATAAACGGGTAGATTGTTAATGAACTTGGATTGGTGTGCATTTCTTCCACCCTTATCCACTCCATCCTGAACCCGAATGAGAATAATAACTCCTCCATTCCACCGCGTATCTATTCGCGACGGAAATGATAGATTGGTGTCAGATCCTGACGTGAAATAAGGATCTAGCGATCCTTAACGTTAAAACCCTTCCGCTCAAAAGAACCCATCCTTTAGACAAGCGAGACCGGACCTCAAGGTCTTGAGTCGAGTAAGAGGTAGGGGAGTCAAGAACTCATAAACATCCTACCCCCGATTAGTCTCTCACATATCTTATGTATTTAAACAGACTCTTGCTACAATTTTATGGGACCTTTTCTCACAAACGAGAGATTTTTGGACACACATTGACTAGACCTTTTTTGTTTGTTTTTATGCATAGAATACATCTACCAACTTTGGGTACACATTTTTACATACACTCTGTGTAATAATATTGTAGTAAAATGTTACATAAAAATGGCATGCAATATTTAAATATGAATTTTCATAGTCATACTGGTAATAATTTGATATTAATCATAAAAATTGAAATTTTAAAGCAAAAGTTATTTTACAAAATAGAGATTTACTGCAATTGTTTTGAAATTTTTGCAAATTTTAAGTATTAAAAAAACAATGAAAAGATCTTGCAATTAAGCTATAAATAAAATTATAATTACATAAAGAAAACTAAATGAGATTCAAATATATTTTAAATTTTAAAAATCTTATTTCTAAACATATATTTTTGCATTAAAATTATTTTTGAAAGATTTTATTTATTGTTATATATAATGGGAGATTTACCTGGACTGTAGCTTTGGGAAGCCAAGCTATTGCTATAAAAAATTGTTCACGTAGAGACAAACCAGCTTTAAATACAACAATGAATGAAGTTAGCATTCGAAAAACCAAGGCTATTAGTAGTACAGCTATTCCAAATCCTTGAGAAAATAAATAAATAAATCTTTTAAATTAATTCTAATATAAAAAATTTTAAAGAATATTTGTTTAAACTAGTTACAATTTACTATATTATAAAGGACATTATAAACCTCTAATTTAATAAAATTTTTAAACTATTCTTTATAAGTAATATATTTAAAATTTCATAATAATCTAATTAATTTTATAATTCTAATTACTGATTTATAATTACTGGTCTTGACAAGATTACAGAAATTGTGCAAGAGGAAAAAAAGCAAATTGAAATGATTATAATTTATTGACTAATTTTTACTAATTTATTGACTAATTGACTAATAGTTTTACATTTAAGTAAAACTATTAGTATTAAAAATTCAGGATTTGTTATCAAGTCTAAATATCTAAACATTTCATTTTACATGCTATAGTTCAGCTAAAACAAAACTATTAACAAAACTTTGGTGTAAAGCAGACAGTTAGGTTGGCATTTTGTATTAATAACAAGTAAGTTAAACTTTAAGTATAAGAATAAATGAAACAGTTTAAAATATTCTAAAAGAAAAGAATAATCTAAAGCAAGATTTAAATCTGTAACTTCTGTTAACTGTATTCAAGTATTGCCATTTATTCTATCTGACCCTCCATCAGATTCATTAATTAGTGCAAAAACTGGATATACCACTTACAATTAATTAAAAATACACCTAAATCCAGTAACAAAAAACAAATTTAATAAAAATGAACTCACATTTTCAATCTTATTTAAAGACATCATCAGGTTCTTAAGACAGAACAGAAAATAACTTTAAAAATACAAACAATTAAACAATGTGAATCATATAACATATCATATGTCCAAGGGTTGAATATACAAATTGATTAATATGTAATATAAAAATAGTAAAATAAAATATCTAATGAAAATTAATTCAAATAAAAATGTGAGGAGTCGAGTCTGAATGTTACTTTTATTTTCAGGGTTTTATTTAGTTCTTGTTATTATTTATTTTGGGAACAGTTTTATTTTGTTAAAGGACAAATCTCCACATCCAACCCAGAAAGAAAAGTCTAAATTTTAAAAAATAGTAACTCTTACCATGTCTGACACCTATGTTGCCTACGTTGCCATGCCAATCTACAATGGCATCTCAAATTAAGTGATTTCCAAATCACAATTAAAGAATAGTTCCTTAATCCCAATTGTAACTGATTCTAAAAATCAGAATTGTTTTATTGAAAAGATCAGAAAAGATGAATATGTTCAAAAGATTGTAAAAAAAAAAAATAATAATAACAATTATGTTAGACTAAGTATGTAAATGAGCTGGAGTAGCACAGCTGTTTGTTACATCACACTAGGGAGTATAAAACCCTAATCAGACTGAAGAAAATTGAGGTGAAGCTACTGTAAACAAAAAGTGAAGTTTCTGATCTGTGATAATATTCTTTTAGTAATTTTGTAAATAGTCTAGTTTTGTATTACTTGACAAGTTTTGTAAAGATAGTCTTAAGAATAGTTGTTAGTTCTAAGTTCCCAAGTGTCAGGAAAGTTTTGTGAATTGTTTTTTGTTTTGTTTTTGAACAGATAAATTTTCATTGAGAATTTTATAACTTGTATAATTCTTGTTTTCTAATGCTTTTCATATTTTATATTAACAACAATTGTACATTGTTGGTCTTGATTAATAATAAATCTATTTATTTTTTAATGAATTCTTCTTCTGGTTCCATATTCATTTCTGAATGTAGGACTAGTATTATAACAATCTCAATTGTGCTTCACGTGTTAGTTCTTCTGCTTTCTTATTATTCCATTCACATATATTACCTAACCAACTTTTCCTTCTCCTTCCTGGGCTTTTCTTTCCACAGATTTTTCCCTCTAAAATATTTCTCAAAATTTCATATTTACTTCCTCGGATGATGTGGCCAAAATACCCAGTCTTTCTTCTTTTAACTGTATTTAAAACTTCTTTTTCTTTCCCCATTCTTTCCAAAACTTCCTCATTTGTTATTCTATCTGTCCAAGATATTTTTAAAATTCTTCTATATAACCACATTTCGAATGCTTCAAGTTTGTTTGATGAATAGTCAAGTATTTATTTTTGAATTTTTTTACTGATAACATTGATTGGTAGTTCTTTTTGAACAAATTCATTTGTGTTTGCCCGTTTAAAAGTCCAGGCCTGGCACCAATCAACTCTCATTTTCATTTTTGGTTTATGTAACACCATAAATGTTAAGTTAATTCCAGGTATTGAAAAAGTAGATGTTATAAAAATAATATACAAAATGAATTTAAATGAAAAGTATGTTACATAAATGAGTAAACATATAACAACAGAAGGTTAAAATTAATAAAAGTGTGACAATAACAAATAGACAATAAATTAAACTAGGTAACTTCAAACAAAGCCCTCCACAGATTTGACACCACCACCAGATCTCTGCTTCTAGATATAGCTAGAAGCAGAGATCTTAGAATATTTTCTTCTAAAATATTCTAAATCATTATTATTATTATTATTATTATTATTATAGTCTTGATGGAATGCTTCTTATACAATATATATAAAAGTGCTTAATGCCATGCCATGCCAAAGTCAAGACATACTACAGAAAATAAAAGTTTTGTTTATGTACTGTTTGTGTATGTATTTGTGTAAGAATTTCCTGACTATGTGACACGTATTTAGTATGGCAGTCTTCTGCAGTGTGATGTATGTACTTTTATGAAGCCCTAATGTTTTCAGACTTTTGTATACTGTATGTGGTATAATGCTTGTACAAGAAAGGATTATTGGTACAATAAGTATCTTATTCATTCTCCACAGACACTTTATTTCATGGGTGAGTTCTGAGTATTTACTAATTTTTTCAGTGTTTATTTTGTATGTTGCATTTTGAAGAACTATGTCTATAATGTATGTGATTTATTTTGTTTGTCAATGAATGTGATGTTGGATTCTGTTGCAAAGGATTGTTTTGTATTGTTTTGTCTGTGATTTATAGCTTGATCATAGTATATTTTATGTGTTGTTTTCTATAACCATCTGAGGTGGTGTGTATTAGTTTGTTTGTATGCAAGCTTTTGATACATTACTTCATACAATAGAATCTTGTTTTAACAGACTATGGAACAATGGATTTCTTGGAATAACAGATTATTTTACCAAGTCCCACCAAATCAATGTAATTTTGCCTCCTTTTAGTGGATCTGTAACTTGGAATAAGGGCTTTTTCTAGCCCTATCCATTGTAAACTTTGAGTTTTTTTTAAGTTTAAGTTAATATTTGGGTGTTTCCGGGAATTTGTAGAATTTGATGATGCACTCGTTACATCTGGAATACATACAGTACAATTGAAGAATTGTACAAGGGGAGTCAGTAGGCTGATATGATTGAGGAGGAGCCATCTAGTGAATATTTTGACACAGGTCCAAGTGCAGTGCTGAAATTTAGCAAGGTCATTGAGTCTTTCCAAGTCATAAAGACCTTCCTTACAAGTTTCAGAATAAAAGAACAGACTGTACTATATATGACATAAATATCAAACAGTGGTTGTATTTAATAGGCAGAAAAGCGGCATCAAAACAAACTGAGATGGACAAATTTTTTAACAAATTGTGAATTCGAGTGAAGTGCTAATGAGCTATATGATCTTGTAACATGTGTTTCTATAGACTAAAGAACAGAGATCTCGAAAGATTAAGTACTGGAATATCTTATATGTAGTGGATTAAAACAAAAATTTTTTCAAATAAGATATTTTCCCGGATATGTGGAAAATCCATTGTCCATGATACAGTATAATGAATTCTTGGAATAACGAATAATTTTTGACTGCCCAAGCGACCCATTAAAATAAAATTATACTGTATTTGTTATTTGATTATGTCAATGTAAGTAGTCATCTTATAGTCATGTTTAAGTGACAATTAAATAATTGATATCTGAAATAGAAGACAAGTTGAGAAAATTGAGTCTTCTAAACTTAAGATCATTGTGCCTCCTGATGTCTCTCCAAGAATCATTGTTTATTTAGTTCAGTGTAAATTAGTACTAACTGTTCATAAGTTATGCAGTAAACATTTGTTTTGTTGTTTTAATACATTGACTATATAAATTTGTAAGCATCTGGGGATTTTTCATACTAAAAGTAAATAAAAATAATAAAAAACCTTTAACTGACATTGACTCACTTAATAAAAAATTAATGAGATGTTTGGAAAAGTAAATAAATCATAAGAGAAATATTTGATATATAAGAGAGACAAGAGCAACTTTCATAATCAAACTATATAATTTCTACATTATAGGCTATGTAACATGCATATAAGTCATTATTTTAATGCAGAATCATAACTTTTCACAATACATTAGCTACACTATATTCAAAATCATTAATTTCAATAATTAAGTACTAACTCACCAACAGTATCACCTTTTAAGTCTTCAAATTTTATTTCAGTACCAATTAATCCAAATAATATTGGCTGAAACAGTAGCCACAGATTACCCAGAGTAGAACTGACTAAACTCTATAATTTGAAGAAAAGCAGAACAATTTTTCTTCTTTAAATATGAAATTTTTGTGTGTGTGTTTATATATATATATATAAATAAATAAGAATATTAATATCTATATAAAAATTTAATAATAATAATCTATATAATACAATTTTAGGAATAATATTGCTTTATATATCATGGATTCTTAAGATTTTCACAAACCAATTCACATAAGTTTTACCTCATAAATTTCTTATTTTAAAATATTTTCAAAAATAATTTACCCCATCTTCAGAAAACAAAATAAAAGTATTTTCCAAAGACAAAGATAAAATTTCATAAAATATTTTAATAAAACATGTTGTGGAAAAATTTTTATTAAAGTAAAAGGAATATTTTTTATTTATTCTCTTCTTAGGAATTCAGTTAAATAATAAATTTTAAGTTTTCACATCTACTGACTCCATGGAGAATGAAAGAAAATTACAGAAATGCTATATAAAGTATAGGAGTCAATATTTATTAATGGTCACATTGAAAAAAATGGAGGTTGTCTGAAGTCTGTTATATTGTATTCAGTGTGATTTCCAATACTATTATTTATCTTTTTTAAAATTGCACCTTTATACATAAATTTTAAAATTAATCTTCAGGAAAGTGTGTTTTTAAAGATTTTATCTTTACTACAATCAATAAAAAAATGAAATTCAAAATCATAATACAGTCAAGTCCACATAAGTCAACACCCCAAGGGGAAGTGGAAATGTGTTGAGTTATCTGATATGACGACTAAAACAAAGTTGAAAATCAACCACAAAACTATAATTAGGAAAATACAGTAGTGCTTTTACAGTACAGTACATGTAATGTATCTCTCTGACTATCCATCACTGACACTAAAGTTGGTTTCTACTCCAAGTACCTCAGCAATTTTCATCGCTTTTTCTTTCAGTATCAGCCCTGAAACAGGAAGATTTGATAAACCAATTTGCTTTAGCCAATATACTAGAGCATCTTTGACATCTTTATATGGTGACTTTCTCTGGCATTTTAAATATTAAAACTTTTAAATAAACATTATTCACATAAAAGTGTATGAAGTTATAATATATTAATAGCTCCAGTCTATTTTAAAGATGATTAATTGTTTTAAACATGATTTATTTATATTAATTCCAAATATAGGGAAACTACTCAGTTTTTAAAATACAGAAATACAGTAGTTATTATTGTATAAGGAAACAATAAAAATGCACTTTTTATTATTTTACATGACTCATATGAAATGAAAAGTTTCTTTATTGATCTACTTTTCTACTTTCCTCTCGTCATTCTTAAAAGTATGTATCAAACAATTGAAGTTTCTTAATTTTCCATACAATGAAATCCAACAGAATATCAACAAAAATTGATTTTGGTTTCTATTGCCAAATTATCCAGAATGTCAGTATAAACCATAGCACTAAAAGTCTGTTTCATTGAACAATTAATACTATAAAAAACAAATCCAAATCATAATCCTTTCCCTTCAAAACTTCACAGTTGGCACAACTCACTCAAGCAAGAATTCTCCTGGCATTTGCCAAACATCTGACAATCTAATGGATAAATCTATCTATTAAATTGCCAAATGGTGGACCTTGATAATTTACAGAACATGTTTCCATGCTTAATAGACCAATGATGATAAATTTTGTTATTCTAGTTGATGCTTGGCATTGTTTGCAATGATCTGAAGAAAAACAGTCATCATCTGCGTATTCCATCCCAAAACTGGCACTTACCTATGCAGATTTTACGACTGTGGATTACCTTCTATCACTAACTAAACCACATCATATGATAATTACATCCACTAATAAGATAGGATGTCTGAATACTTTTGATAATATAGTATATGTACTGTAAAATAATAAATAGTTCATTTTTATTGCTTCCTTATACAATAATAACCATTTTAAAAACAGAATAGCTTTTTCTCCATTTGGAATTAACATAAATAAATCACATTTAAAACAATTAACATATTGGAGAAAAATAGACTTGGTAAAAATAAACACCACAATCAGACATTTGAAAAGTTTTTCAATATGTTACAATGGGCTAATATTCTTGTGCAAATAATTATATAAAACTTGACAAAAATATATTATTATTACTTTTTAAATAAGATATAATTGTAATCATAATGTATTTATAAACCCTAGAGATTGTCTTTAGGTTTTTAAATAGGCTAGCCTTCAGCAAACACACCATATTTTGTGTCAGATCACAAAGTTAAGGGGCTTGGACATTTGAGAACAAGATGGAATTATTCCTATTCTAGATTAATATTCCTAATCTTCCTATTTTGGAAGATTAAGAAAGCATATTCAGCCATAAAACAAAACCAAATCAGAAAAACAGTGATCCCAAGTGGACTAATAATACTGAAGATTGAAAAGAAACACTCTAGTAAAATATATTTTGATATACACAAGCCCATTTTAAATAAAATATAAGATTTAAAAAATAAATATTTGATAGATTATAAGATCTTTCAAGCACTTATTTTTTTTTTGGGTTTTAAATCAGTTAAAACGCAATAACTATATTATCATTTATACTTTTTACTTACATCTTCATTGCTAAATGATTTTTTCCTCCACCCAAAAGCAGCAACAAATGCTAAAGTTAAACAAGCAAGTGCTCCGATACCACCAAATTTAACTGCGCGCCCACCAAACATCGCAAACATTCCTCCAAACAGAAGTTCCAAAATTCGAAATAAATTCACTTTTTTCTATTGGAAATATACAATGTAATTTACAATGTAATTATACAATACAATTTACAATGTAATTATTGATAAATTTTGTATTTTAACATATAAGCATAACTAAATTATAATAGAATTATTGATAAATTCATCTAAAAACTTTCTGCTCATGTTTAATTTTAATTAAATCACAAATAACTAAGATTAAGAAGTAAATCAGAAAAAAATAATAAATTTGAATTAAAAATATAGATGGTTTATTTCACAATATAAAAAATATAGAATAAACTAAAATGTCTTCAAAACTTCTGTTACTTTTTTATATCATGAAATATACAATCTGCCTTTTTAATTCAAATTATGTATATTTTTAAAGGTTTTGTCTTATCTGAACTTTTTAACTGTTTTATATAATGTTGCAGAGGCATAGCTTCTAATAAAGGGTTGTCTCTGCAAAGTAAGGACTGTTTGTTCCTGGTGATTAGACATGACAGAAGTTTTGAAAATGTTTGTTTCTTCTATATTTTTTATATAAAAATTTACTTTTCAATATTTCAAGCCTATAACCAAGTCAATTTCGAAATATGAAAATTTTCTCATTCAATTTAAACTTTCATTCAAAATTTCTCAAATGTACTTGGTCAGGTATGAAACAAACATCAGATATACCAGGCACTTCATGATACCTGATTGGATTTTACTGTACAGCACAGACTTGGATGTATTTTGGAATTTTTAACTTCTCCTCAGCCAACCATTCCTATTATCTCTATCAAATTATAAATTTTCATTTAGATACCAATAAATCTGTAATTTCTCTTTACAATTTGGGACAAGTTACATACTTCAAGTTCTATGAATCACAAACCACACTCATGTTGTAGTTCCTTACATTGAAATGTTCTATATCATAAATGTCTTATATGGTACCCTTAGTTATCTATCTTAAAATTAGAAGTTAAACTATCACTTACAAGCTTCATACATAAAAACCTTTCTATTTACTCTTTTTAATATTTATACAAAGTAAAACTTTTAAAAAATAATATGAAGCTGTTGGGAACCACATCCAAAAGTTGTGTTAGCACCAATATCAACACTCTACAATAATACTTTTAAGGTAAACTTAACCATATCCATTCTTATTGTATTTTTGCAGAATGACTGGCATGCTGCATAAAAACAGGGAAGACCTGCACGCTGGAAATCCTCAATTACTGGCGTCCTGGTTAAACTGTGGCTAAAATATAAAATTAATCAGATCTAATAAAACTAGTTGTTAATTAAATGTTAAAGAAAACATTCTTCCGAGTACAATAAAATAATAACATTGTTAATTTGACTGACTTAAAATTAGGTAGAGAGTTTTTATTTACAAGACAATAAAACAATGCATCCTCTAGAAGAAAAGGATGTACAACATCACTTAAACCAGTATGCAGCATTTTCCCAGGATAAGCCAACTTGCTGGTTTTTACCATATGGAAATATCTGATTTCATGGTCTCCCCCAGATAGACTGGCATGCCAGTCATTCTGAGAAAATACAGTATTTATACTCTACCAATAACTTGCATAATTCTACACCCAAGATTCCAAAACACAGAAAAAACAAACTTTTACACATCTTGTTCAAGTTTAACTATGCATGTTTATTTTTAAAAAATCCCTCTCATACATTACTTATACTCATGCTTAAATTTTTATTCAATGCATTGTGTGTCCTTAAAGTATAAACATATTCTTTAAATTCTATTTTATAAGCATTTATTTCTTCTTCCAAGATTTTTATATTATTATTATTAATTTTAAATTTGCTTACACTACAATTGTCAAATAAATGCTGAATTTTATCTGTTTTGAATCGACTTGATGCTCTTTAATTTTTCATTTTAATTTTCTGTGTGTTTCACTTCTATAAACTTTTTTATTTTGACAAGTACAAGGTAATAAATATACATTTGATTTTTCCAATTTATTAATTTTATTTTTTTTACCTTTTTTTTTAGATAATTTAGAAAAAAAATTAAATAAGGTTGACATTAATTGTATCTTAAATTTCTCTAATTAATTTTACTTTTCATTTTTCATATATTCCTGCTAACAGAGAAAAAATATATTATAAAGTATAACTGTATAAAAATAAATATTGTTATTTTTCTGATTTATTTCTTTAATCATTTATAATTTACTCTTAAGATTAAAATAATAATTAACACATCACTGCAATATAGTATTTTATTTTTACTTTTCCAGCTGTTGTTATATATATATAACAGAAGGAAAGTATAGCAATTGGTCAAAAAATGACTCCCTAAGATTTTTACATTTTTGGATTCAGAAGACCTAGAAACATTGAGGAATGCAAAAAATATTCAGGGGTTTTTCTGTATGTATGGATGTTAGTGTGTGTGTGTGTGTATATAGTGCTGTGGCATTGCAGCACTCTCCCCCTCCCTGCCAACTTAAACTGTAGGCCTACTTTAATGTACTACATTATGTAAGGTATATATTTGTAAGACGTGATAAAAATTATATACAGTACAGTTTTGTATTTAATATATTTTTCATAAATGATCAGTTATCCAAAAAATCAGTTATCTGAACAACCCCAGTCCCGAATTGTTTCGGATAATTGATGCTCTACTGTATTGGGAGATAACAAGCTATACATTATACTATATGAAAAAATGAAAAACTGACTTACAAGAAGTAAAGCAAGAAGTTTAGCAGTGCTATGAAGCAGACAACATAAATGAACCATTGTAACCCAATTAACTCATTACCCTATCACACTGCCAGAGCCATGGAAATTGATTGTGGACCCTACAACTAAAACCTCCCAGTCCACCCTATATCTTCTTCTGATAAAGTGCTTTCAGTTTAACAATTTGTTTTTTCTCCCTTTAGCACTTGAAACTATATAAATTGATTTTCTAGACTTCACATTACATAGATTGGAAATTTAATAATGAGAATTATGATATAATTTCATAAAAATACAAAATATTGAGATTTGTGGACAGCAGTATGATAAAATAAAGTGTGCCTAATGTCTATGCATGATGATGTCCAAATCATCCAAAAGATGTTGCTGCAATATTTGTTTGAGATATTAGTGTTTGAACTGATTGTCCTAAACAATATTTTCAGTTTGTACAATATTTTGTATTGTTTTTTTGCTTTTTGCCTTAACTATTATTAAATATATCTACTAACTTAAGGTAGTTATTTATATTAGGGCTTATCACATCAGTGAACATGAATACAAAATTTCTTAAATTTAATATATATTTAAGTTTTCATAAAAAAGAGATTTACTATAATTAAAACTTTCAATATGTACAAAATATGTAAAATACACCCAAAATGCATTTTGGACTCTTCAGTTGGTGTTTTAATTAAACATATGAGAGTATACATAAAAGTTATATTAAAAGGTTGTAATAAGAATAAAGACAACACAATTAAGAAACAGGTGCTATCTCACAAGTGCAATATAATAACCAAGCCAGCCATAAGGAGTTAATTGGTGCTTCTGAAGGATTGACTGACACATTACACCTTGTAATTTTTCCTCATAGAAAACTCTGCCCTCTCCCCAACCCAGACCTCATTTAAGCCAAATCTCTCCAGATCTTGGAATTTAGAAAAAAATGGTGGTCTATAGTTTTGTTTATAATATAATCATTAACTCACATAAAATTCCTATGGATGGATTTGTCAAATAAATAATTTAACAATGTTTTCTATAAGTGTAGAAAAAAACATCTTAGTATTTTCTAGCTTAACATCTCATCTTCAGAAGTAGACAAAAATACTAAACTCAAACACACACACAGAAATCCAAAAGTTTGAAAAATGTGAATGGTTGAGAACACTTAAGACCATGGTCCCCACATCCTACAGCAAGGCCCCAGACCAGGATCATTGGTGAGCCCTCTTTCCCTTCCCCTCCTCACTTGAACCCAAGATCTTAATGGTGTGAGGCAAGGGACCTAACCACTCGGTCCCTGTGGCCGCTTTGGGATATGGTAAGGCAGCTAAATGACAAAAAATATTATTTTCATTCACAAATTAAGCAAGCATTTACAAAAACATAGATTAGATTTATTAGAGACAATACAAGAATTACACTGATGAATTTTACAATGACGAACATGACATTAAAAACAAAAACAAAATATGAACCAACACAAAAACTGAAAGAATGACAGAAATATAAAAACAAAGCACATCAACAAGACAAAACCCAAGAAACTATCGATTAAATTATTTTGCAGTATTTGGAAGATATTGTTCGGCTGTCAATTGCCATAACTGTAAATGGAAAAATTCTGATAAAAGTTTTTTCAGCTTTCCTCGTGACTCAGAAAGATAATTTTTATACTTTTATAATTGTTATATTAAGTTAATAATAGTAGCTTAGAATATTAATTAAATTATGTCAAGAATTAAATATTCCAATTAAATTGAACTTAATAGTTATTTGATTATGTCAATGTAAGTAGTCATCTTATAGTCATGTTTAAGTGACAATTAAATAATTGATATCTGAAATAGAAGACAAGTTGAGAAAATNATGGAAAAATTCTGATAAAAGTTTTTTCAGCTTTCCTCGTGACTCAGAAAGATAATTTTTATACTTTTATGATTGTTATATTAAGTTAATAATAGTAGCTTAGAATATTAATTAAATTATGTCAAGAATTAAATATTCCAATTAAATTGAACTTAATATTCCACAAGAAAATCTAAGCAAAGCAAAAAGTACAAGCTGGCCATCTTCATACCAGGCCCCTATGAACCCAGGCCACCTGACTAGTTCTGGTCAGTCACTACCATGTGGGGGCCATGCTTAAGACCTAAACATTAAATGATATGATATTATGATACCCCTTTCACCTAATTTTTCATTGTAAAACTTATGACCAAGGACGTAATAAATTATTACAAACAGTGTTACAGGAAGATCACAACTGGCTGTCAGACATAAGTCCTTATTTCACATATACAAAGAACTTTACAACTTCATTCAGAGCTCAGGAGCTCTGGATGTTCAGGGAGCTCTGGATGTTCAGAACTCTAACAACTAGTGCTTTACAAGTTGGGATGTGCAGTTGCTGAGTCACAACAGGACCACACTTTTCTACACTTCAGTGTTTTCAAGGCCCTATTCAAGTTATGTGTTTGTGTATAGACTCAATTGTTATTCCAGACTCATCAAGACTGTTGTATACAAATGTTATTTACTGTTGGGAAAAGACAGTGACCTGTCTAATTCTGTATTCGGTAATACTTTTGTAATTTAAATTCATATACATTATGTTTTTACATATATTCATTATTGTATTCACCCAAGAAGGGTGCTTCAACTGTTGCTGTATTGTATATATGTCTTTTGTATTAATTTTGTAAATTTGTTTTATGAATAAAAGATCAATGCAGTCACCCATCAGACTTCCCTTTTCATCCCCTTTCCTATCTCGCTTTATTTTTCCCCCTCGCCTCTTCTCTTAATCCCTTTCTCTCCCTCACCTTTTCACCCCAGGCAATACCTATGAGTAGTCCTGGGCCTTCATCACCTTTAAGTTATAATCTAAGTTACAATATATTATGATACTCCATGATAAAATTTACTTACAAGCAAGAAAACACACAATGTGACAATAACCAATAAAAAAGAGTCACATAATAAGTTTAGCAAAGGGTTCCTGTACATCTTCCACTGTGCCCTCTGTATTTATCATGTGTTTATACTCTTATGCCATAGATACCATTTCCATGTGTTAGGAAGAGTTTCTGCATCTTTGACATTTGATTTTGTTTATACCTTTTGTTTTTATTTATTTGGTAACCCTTTGCTTATAATGTGACTCCTCCTTTTTTTGGTTATTATCACATTGTGTGTTTTCTTGCTTGTAAGTAAGTTTTATCATGGAAGTCCATAACATCATAGCATTTAAACTTTAAATTTTAAGTTTTCTTAACCATTCATAATTTTCAAACTATTGGAATTTTATGGAGTGTTCAAATTTAGTATTTTTGTGCTACTTCCAAAGATGAGCTGTAAAGCTCAAAAATACTAAGGCATGTTTTTTGAATTTTTCTGTACTCTTAGAAAAAGCAGTGCAAATCATTTCTTTCACAAAAATAATTGTTATGAAGAAAAAATTATGTAAGGAAAGATTTCAAGACATTTAGTTTGCTTAGAAGAATGTCTTAAAATGTATTTAAGACTATATATCAAGAGACTTGATATCTTAGTAAGGGTTCCCTATGAAATTATTTATTTATTTATTTGAAAATCAAATGTTATCCTTCAAAACCAAAACAGACAAATGTTCAATATTTAAGTGTTTTCACAATATGTAGCAAGGCCATAACAAGCACAACTAACTCATTGCATTGTCAAGTCTAATTTGTGGCATCATTGAACTCCTCATGCTGTTTCTTGCAAATAAATTTTTTCTTTGTCCACTTGGTATAAACTGATATGAAAGGGACCTAATAAGTCCATACTCGTCTCATACAACATAAAGCTACTACTGACTGAACTACTACTCATCCAAACTAGAATATTTTACAAAAATATGTCAACACCTTAAATTTCCAGCAGCAATAGTTTTAATAGCACATTAATGTCTTTGGCTATGTATTAAAACAATGTATATGGAATATATAAGGAAAAACACACATTTACAAATTTGAAAATAAGAATAAACTTTCTAAACGATCATATAGAATAACAAAATTATAACATTTACGAAAATTCAATCATAGAAAAATATACGTATTTTTTTAAATCAAGAACTGAAACTAAATCCAATTAGCATTAACAAGACTCGACACTCTGGGTGTTCTCTTTCCATTAAATCACCTCTGGGTGAAAGGAGAACACCCAGAGAGAATAAGCTCGTTAATGCTAATTGGATTTAGTTTCAGTTTTTGTTTTAAAAAATACATATATTTTTCTATGATTGAAATTTAAAAAATTTTTGTTTTCTTGAAATCTTACAGAAAGTTTGTTCTTATTTTCAAATTCATAAATGTGCATTCTTCCTTATACATTCCATACACATTGTTCTAATGTACAGTTCAGTTCATGTGATGATGGTCAATTAAAATGATCAAAGATGTTAATGTGCTATTAAAGCTGTTCTTGCTGGAAATTTAAGATGTTGATAATTCTGCTATTGATTAAATGTGAATAAAAATGATGATAGGAAGATGTAAAATATCAAAGTAAAATTTAATCAAAAATACTGATTTTAAAAATCACACTTAAAACTTCAGATATAAATTTAATACATTAATAAAAATAAACATATATAAGAAAAATAGCAGAAAACAAATACTTAATACTTCTTAATATAATTTTATGTAAAAAAAGGAAATTTCTTTGAAAGAGTAATAAAATGAAATCTTATGATGATAAAATTTTTTCATCAAACAAATTATTTTAGGAAAATACAGCCCCCAAACTTTCTTCCAAAAACCAACCAAACCATTTGATCTATCATACAGAAAAATTTTAAGGTAAAGGAAAAAATATATTAGAAAGATATAGAATTAAGTTTTTATGAAAGTAATGAAAACCAGATTTGAATTCAGAGTGTCATTTTTCTCATCCACAAGCATATCTTTTTAGGATAAATCTTTCTCTTCTCACTGATAGAAAACATTAATATCTTAACTATTTAAATTAAAAATCAATTTGTTCAGTTCTATTAAATACATTTTCGTTCCCATAAATATAGTTCTCAAGATGTTTTAGATGTAATAAAACAAAAACATTTGAAAAAACTAGTTTTAATTAATTTTGAGTAATTTAACTTAATTAATAATTTAATTTAATTTAATTTAAAAATTTAATTAATTTATACATTTAAAAATATATAGTTTTCTTATTATATAAAATGTTAAAGTTATCATATATTTTCAAAATTACAATTAGTTTTATTAAATTTACATAATAAAAAAATAGTGTATATAATTTACATCTGAATCACCAGGAACAAACCACATAATCCATCCCAAAATGCAACCATACACAATACCAATCACTGCTTCTAATGGACCTTTGGCAATATTCCAAGCTAAACTTCCTATAAAAATATGTTAATATAAACAAATTAATTATTTTAAATTAAAATTAAGGTATTTAGTTCATACCAGTAGAGAATGTAATTCCTAAAACAACACCAAATCCTGTTATCGCTAATATATCATCCACACTTGCAGCTGCAATCACAAGAGTGGGTATCCCTTTATTAACTCCTAATCCTTTTTCTTCAAGCAATAACATACTTGGAACAACAACAGCAGGTGATACAGCAGCAATAACAAATCTGCAATTGAATTAGATTATATATTAAATATTTTTGAATCAAAGAATCAAAATATAGTAAGAAAATATTCAATTTTTATTTCATTAAGTCAGCAGTGTTAAAACTTTTTGATCAATGAGCTGAATTGCATAGAGAATAGTTAAATCATAAAGTAGTGCTTACAAACATTTTTACACATTCCAAATATTCCAATTTGAGACAACACGCATGCTTATTTGAATAAAAAAAAATATCAAATAACAAAGTTTGCACTTAAAAATTGTGAAATTTTGTATGAGGGATTTCCCAAATTCTCAAACTGTGTTAGAGAAAAACTGTTGTACAAGTGCTGTGTTGTATGAGGAATACCTGTATATTATGCTAGCTCAATCCCAATGTCAGCCCAATCCCCTTTGGTAGCATAGGCCCATCACTCCACAATTCTCTCTTCCATGTTGCATTTTTTTTATAATAATTCTTTGTATGAATAATTAGAATACAGTAATACCCCAAACTTATGCGATAGGTGGGACCGAGCGGTAACCACGTAAGTCGAATTCATGTAAATCGGGGTATAATTTCGCATATAAATACATACAAATAATTTTTAATTGGGGCCGGAGACTAAAGAAAACAATAATTTAGAAAAAAATGTTTAATAAAATCTTAGATAATACATATGTATAACAAATTAGGCCTATATTATTTTACAATTTTTCACATTTACTTGATTATCACGCCATAATTTTAACATTGTTTCCATCTCAGCGATAATACCGTGACGTTTACGAATGATGCTTGAATTTAAAGATTGAGCATTTTTCACAGCTTCGAGAATTTTTTCTTTGCCTTTTATAATTGTTCTGACCGAAAATTCCGGTAGATCAAACTTCTTTGCCAATTCACAAATTTTCATTTTTGTATTGAAGTCTTTAATAATGGGTACGTTCGTAAAGTCAAACAAGTTAAACGCGTTAGTAACGAATCATTCGAAAAGTCTAACCAAATAGGAATAACGATGACTTCATTCTTGCTTAACTCGTTCGACTTTACAAACATACCCAATGTTAACTTTACATTCCAAAGATAAAGTTTTTCTTTTCTTGTTTGATGCAGAAGAATTAGTTCTACTTCGTTTGGATGACATAGTAGAGTCTCTGTAGATATAACAAACACAGAAATAAATAACACAAAATAAATTGTAGCTATGTGTGGATTCTGCGCGACACATCCGAACATGTAAATTGAACAATAGTGTGGGGGGAGTGAGTAATCAAGGGTTGCGTGGCGCTCAAACAAAAGATGAATCGACGAGATTTGAAAATCGTGTAACTCCGGGTTCGCGTAAGTCGGGTTCGCGTAAGTCGGGGTATTACTGTATTTTTTAAAATAAAATTGTAAATTAAATACAGATTTTTAAAATTAGCAGTTTTAAGTTTTAAGTTTTAAAAATAATCTGAAACTTGTCAGTAAAATAATTAAATATCTGTATTAGCTGTGAAAATGTTAAAATATGAAAGGTTCAACAGTGTGTGGTCATGATTTATCTGATCTGATTTTAAAATTTCATAATTGTTTAATTTATTAATTTCCTGTAATTTCAATGTATTTTTTATAAATATCTCACCATAAACTGGAACCGTATATTCGCAAATCACACCTAAATTCAAACTTTCCAGCAAATAAGTCAAAAAAAAATAAAGATCGAACGTTTTCAGCCACTATTTATAGAACAGTTTTTTCAATTTGTATTTCCTGAGGAAGGCCGATAAATTTAGTGGCCAAAAATATTCAATCTTTATATTTTTTGACTTATTTGCTGGAAAGTTTGAATTTAGGTGTGATTTGTGAATATACAGTTCCAGTATTTTTTAAACATTGAAATTCATAAATTTTACATAGGAATAGTTTCACTTAAAAAATTACCTAAAATATTTTACATTGTTTATGCAACAATAATAATAAACAAACTGTTGTTTAAGCATATTTAACCTCTCATCATTGTAGTTTCAAAAGCACATTAGGAAATTGTATAATTATAAAATTTCTATTTTTTTTATCATCTACTCATATGACAGATTCTTCAAATATCCTTATGGACCAAATTAAATTGTGCAATGAGCCAGATCTGGCATGCATACTTTAGTTTGAACACTACTGCATTAAATTACCAAATAAAAGATAAAAAGTGTTATATAATATTGATTAATTTTAAAGGTTTACTTACCCAAGAATGAAACCCCATAACCAAGGGAATTCTAATAAAAAGTGTGAAATTATCGCTATAGTAATGCATTCTACTATACATGGAGTGAAAGCCAAGCGAAAACATGCTCCACTTAATTTCCTAAGTACAATAGGATCTAGACCTAATCCGGCCCGTAACAATATGATGACTAAAGCTATACTTCTGTAATAAAATTTTAAATTCAATACAAATATTTCCATTATTTTCAATATTAATAAAACAAGAAAATCACCTTAGATCTGATGACCATTTTGGATTTAAATCTTTTGCAACGTCAATATATGGTACATTTTGTAAAATCATCCCCATTATAAGCATTCCTAGAATGAATTAAATATATAAAAATAATTTAATTTAACAAACTATACTTAGTTTTACAATATTACACAGAGGCTTACCTAACAATGGAGGTAATGTCAACAGTGAAACAATTTGTCCGCCAATGTAGCAAACAACAACGACAACAACAAGTGCAAATATTTCACCTCCTGGTAGTGCTAAATGATTCAATAAACCCCATAATGATCCCCAAACTAATGAAGTTGATAATATTAATCCAAACCACGATAAAACTGACGGTGATAATAAAAATGCCTTTAAAAAATTTTTCTTCTTTGATGAAAAATTTGCATTAGATAGCTGAAGAGGTGACTGTTGTTGACTAGGAGGTGTCTGAAAATCTAAAAACATGTAAATATATATGCTGATTTTATATAANTTATTTTCTAGGAATTATCATATCCACAGACTCCAAAAATACTAGCCAATCAATGACTTTATTTTACCCAGATGCATTTCAGAAATTACAATATTTTCCTCCTCAGTGGGCTTTCATACAAGCTAAACAAGGCACAATTTTTCAATATTGTGTGAGAGTTCTTGCTATGAACTGTGGATAATATAATTCAGTTTACCCTATTTTGTATTTATACATTAAGTTACATCACTTTGTAGAACTGCAGGTTATTGTAGAGGTTTAGTGAAAATTTATAAAATTAAATATTTTTAACTTTAATATGCAAAATATAGAATTTGAGAAATTCTTTCTGAATCATGCTGAAGAAAGCTAAAATAATCTGCAATATTTAACCAATGTTATATACAAAGACATTTATAATGTATTTATAATATTAAATGAACAAAATTTCTACTTCATTAAAATTTCCAGTAAATAAGCAAGCTCTAGTGCTTTTAACTCATCTACAGGTTAGGCCATCCATTAATTATGTACAGTTTTTGAACTACTTTTGACAGTCCCCCTTCCTGTTGTGTGTTCAATGTGTTCAATATTTTTGGCAAACTCTCTCTCATTTAATTATGTATACAATAGTTCATGGTCCGCCCTGTTACTGAAGAAATGGTTTTAAAAAGTTCTGCAAATATTTTCTAATTGATAATTTGTTCACATGACTAAGTTAGTAATTAATTTATAAGAACAAATTTGTATGCCACTAATACCAGTAAAAAACTCCATGTAGACACTGCCTTGAGCCCTTTCCTCCCATTCTGTACAATGATGTATTTTTCATGACTCCCTCTATCCTTCAAACTGTACATGTAATTAAGTGATGGTTCTGTAAAAGCATTAAATTACAGTATAGATAAAATTTAGAATATATTTAAAATTATATTTTAATCAATTTTTGTTAATAACACTTTCATCAAATCAATGTTAATAAAGTAAATATTTCAAGTAAACTTAGTGTATTAAAATGTAAAAATTATATTTCAATATTTGACTTAGCATAAAAAACAATTTGTTCCTGACTTTTGAAAAATATACATTGCTAATATTTGAATAATCATTCTTCTGAACTGTTAATTACTATCTATATTGAACTATACAGATATAACAACATACAAGATAATAATCTGCATTATTTTATATATAACAAAGTAAGTACAAATCTTATAAAATGTATTATACAATATTTTAACATAATCAAAACAAAATTTAAACTATTTTGATCTGAAATTATTAAAAATTGAATAAAACATGATGAACAAATGATTTGAAATTTTAGTTCGACAATATATATTTGAACTAATTTTAAATAATTTGAAGTTGTTTTAACTTTATTTTAAAGATATCATCACTAAAATAAGTGGATGGCAATAACATTACAGCAACATATGAAATAGTAAGAAGAAGAAAGAGAACATTACAGCATATATTGGAGTTATAATATTAATAAATGGAAATGGATATTGTTTAAGCATATTTAAAAATTTACATTTTAATTTTCAATTTCAATTTTTTATATAAATTTCAATATAAAAAAAAACTCTTTCTGTCCTGTGGCCACAAAGAGGTCCTTTTCCACACTCATTGTGGGTTTGGTAAGGCTCACAATGGAAGTAGTTGGATAATGATGAGGGATAGGACCAACATAATTGGGACAGACCACTCATAAAAAATTCCTAGCAAATTGCTTGATCCTAGGTCCTCAGAGTGTAGGCTAGCTATCTTAATTGCTTTGCTCTTCTGACTATCAAAATATAATGTTATCAAATATTGCAGAAAGAGGTAATAAGACTTAATAAATTTTAATTTCCAAACATTTTAAAGGAGAGCAAGAAAAAGATTAAATGGAGTGAACAACCATTAGGAAACTATAAATAATCATTTCATAAGTTGAAACAATTACTACACTGTAAAAATATTATTTATTGTTATATATGACGACCTGTTTAGATTAATAAATATATTTGATTTTAACTGTAAGATAAAAGTAATAAATGCTAAATATAAATTTTGTTTATCACATTTTAAAATGAAGAAATAAATATACTCGTATTTTTTAAATTGTTTATTAAAGAAATATTTTTATTCATAATGAAAATAAATAAAACAAATTGGATCTAAATTATATGAAAAGATTCATTTCTTTTATATTATGTAATTGGAAGCTCTTATCAAATATAATTTTATATGACTATATATTGAGCAATTATTAAGAAAAACAAACTATTTAATTTAAAGTATAATTGAAACTGTTTTTGCTCCAGACTTATCATAAAATAAGTCTGGAGCAAAAACAGTAAACAAAACTTATCATAAAATTCAAGTTTTGTTTACTTCATAATTGTATTTATAGTGTGAGATAAGAAAATTTATTACTTATTCATACTTACATTAAAAAAATTTTATTGATTAAATTACTTATTAGAATAGTGAAAAAAAATTTGAATAATAATGTAAATGTGTTGGTGAAAAGTAACTAGGCATTGAAAAATTACTATAATTTTTGTAATAATAATGCAATCATAATAAAAATTATGTGTGCAATTACATCAATCAACAGAATTTTATAATTCCTCAATAGTTGTGTGGGTAGTGACTGAGAGAGGCTATATATGCAGTGGCAACGAAGATGGCCAGCTGCTTGTCTGTCCAGGAGCAAATGCAGATTGCTACAAGCTATGAGGTGTGCAAATCAATGGTTAATGTGCAGAGATATGGTGAATGGATTTCATGCCTCAATCCGTCTGGAAACAACCAAGAATTGTCATTCAAAGCTAAAATGATCAAAGGTTAGGTTGTGAGCATACAGAAAGGTGGCTGTCCATTCACATCACAATCTGAGGAAAACATGTCATTGGTGGATGGCACTAGTGCCTACATTTAATTTTAAGGTATGCTCCTGTATTTCTATTTAATAAGTATGTGCCAAATAATTTTCATCATCTTTGCATTAGAAATATAGAAATTATAGCAATTTCTCAATGCCTAGTTATTTTCCACCCACCTTATATACTAAACAATATAATTTATCCTTATATTCCATTTTTTTTAATTTCAATATGTAACTAGTTCAGACACCATTATTTTCTAGGAATTATCATATCCACAGACTCCAAAAATACTAGCCAATCAATGACTTTATTTTACCCAGATGCATTTCAGAAATTACAATATTTTCCTCCTCAGTGGGCTTTCATACAAGCTAAACAAGGCACAATTTTTCAATATTGTGTGAGAGTTCTTGCTATGAACTGTGGATAATATAATTCAGTTTACCCTATTTTGTATTTATACATTAAGTTACATCACTTTGTAGAACTGCAGGTTATTGTAGAGGTTTAGTGAAAATTTATAAAATTAAATATTTTTAACTTTAATATGCAAAATATAGAATTTGAGAAATTCTTTCTGAATCATGCTGAANACACTTCGGGTGTCATTGTCTCCTATTACCCCCAGATGGAACCGTCTCGTTGCAAAGAAACAAGCTCAGGGTTCTCATTGATTTAGCGTTCTAGTGAGTTAAAATTTTAAATCACATTATATTCATTTTTTGGTGTAACTGTATATTACTTTGAAGGCATTTTTAAATACAATTAAATTAAAATTATTAAATTAAATTAATCTAAAATATAAACAATCAACGTCCCTCCCTCAGTGGGCCGCGGTAAAATTATCAAACGTTGGCCGGTCCGCGGCGATCAAAAGGTTGGGGACCGCTGTCCTAAAGGATTTAGTTTGGAATTCAATTTGTTATTTTTCACAGATAGTTCTGGTTTAGATGACGTTGTAGCCGAGTAATAAATAACAGAATCCGGGGAAACGTTCGACGTTGATAAATAAGTTTAATTTTCACAAAAATAACTAAAGTTCCGAAGAAGCAATCGTTCTAACAATGAATTTACTATTTACTATTTAATTGGGATCGATCGTAACAAATACAACGGATGGGTCCCCAAGTACCGACAAACAAAGAATCTACTCTATTTTAGGTCTAACTTAACTAATTTTTACAAATAACTGGGCTCAAAAGCAAAAGGGAAGATGTTAAGATAAAGAACTCTTTTTGCTCAGTTTTACTACAAAATATAAACATGTCTGAAAATAAATTATAATTTCTTAAGATATTTGCTTTGTTTAAACTATATGACATTATTTTTTTTATCTTTAAAGATTACATTTAAAGAGCGAAAGATCATGCTGTAATTTGTTTACAAAAAATGAATGGGCGCGTGTCGGTTTCACTATTTGATTTCTAATCGCTTTCGAATGCGGAACGAGTGACGTATAACACAGAAAATATATTATTCAGCAATTTTTTGTTATCGATACATCAAAATGCATTAATATTACAAAAGAAACAATAATATATAAAAAGACTTTACCTATAAATAATTATTTCTTTCATGCAGGAACCGCTACCCTTCCTGATAATACATTATCTATGATTATATGACATTAATTAAAATATTTAATAATAAATATTTTTAAAATTATTAATTTATAAATTTATTTCGTTAAAATTCGGTTATTTTTTAATTATTTTCTCTTTTCATTAAAAAAAAAAATTTTGTTGTTGATTGATGGCAACATTGCTATTTTAACTTATTTTTGAAAAAAGTAACTTATAAAAATAATAATCAAATTTAATTTTTAAATTTATTTTAATTATGACGTGATGTTAAAAATATTTTATGTATTTAATAAAATGCAAAAGGCATGAATTGTTTTCATAAGTAAAAGAACACGTGCAAAATAGCAATTTATACTCAATATTTTTACAGAGAAACTCGACGTAGAATAGCTTCGTGTCCATATAATAAATTATTTACAATTTTAAAATATAATGTTTTAAAAATTTAAGCCATGAATTAATTTAAATATCAATCTAATCGCTATTTAGCAAATATACACATGATAAAAAGTTATTATTGTCTTAATTTTGTGCTATGAGAAATAAGGATGATCTCGTTTAGTTACAAAAGAAATTTTCTTGAAAATCTTTGTAATAACTTTTATAAATTTATGGTGAATAATCCTAAGAAGAAAA